TTCAGAGAGCAGTGTCCAAATTAACGGAAGAAACTGAACAGCAAACCCCGTGGCTAACAAAAGCTCTGAAAAAAGAATAATAATTTTTTATCATATTTTTTATTAAAGACCCGTCAGGGTCCCATCAAAGCAAGTAAATTAAATCAAAATGCGAATTTTAGACGACGTCGGCGGAAGGTGTACAAAATGAAATCCATAGTTTCTGAATTAGTAGTCCGTTGAGAAAAATGACTGACGAGAAGAGAAAAAACTCCACGAAAAAATGTAAAAATGATTGGATTTATTTTACAGGAGAAAAAAACACCTCGATAAAAATAATAACAGAAGAATGCGGGCAGGACTGGCCTGTATGTGGCGGTATATAACGGATTATAATCGGACATCGTCAAGGCAGAAATAAATGTCAGCCTCGAGGGGTACGTATGCGGGTCGAACAGGACTGGCCTGCAGATGGTATTGTATACGGGATTCAGAAATGACATTGTCAGGGCTGAATTGATACGCCGGATGAGACTATTCGCATCCAAGAGGCCAGACGAGAGGAACCCAGACGCGATCGGCAACAAAACGTCTTGAGCCCAGCCGAGGAGTGGGGAAGGCAGGTACGACCAAACTACTAGTACATGGCGAGTACTGAGGGTTCCGCCGTGAGCGATGACAGACCGCATGAGATCGAAATACGGGAGATGACATCAAGAACCGCGAAAATCCTCGCTATGGGGGAGAAGTGATAACACTGACAGCTAATTCACAGCAAGGTTTCGGATGATGTAATTGAGGGTTTCCACTTGATCTACCACTAAATCTCAGGAGGGCCGTTGTCGAAGTCACGAACCTAGGTGTTCGGGAATGAGACCGGTAAAATTTTCTTCATACTTTCCGGTGTAAGTTGTTTGCGTAATTTCGACTTGAATACCAGTAACTTAGGCGATGACCTAATTTCTGGCGGAAGATTATTCCAAAGGGGAGCATATTTGAAAGCAAAGAAGAGGGAGCGCTCAGATGTTATGCAAAGAGGCGGCGGAATCATCATGGAGGAGTTCCGCGTGGAATAAGACCGATCTCTCGAAGGGAGAGTGTCAATGAGCGGAAGATAGGAGCTAGAGTTGATGCGAAAAAGGAAGCAAAGGCCAGCTTCGAGTTTTCTAACCGACAAAAACTTAATATTCGCCAGCTGACATCTCTGAGTATAAGAAATACCGGACGACGAAGTTTCCGAGTGAAAACCCTCTGAACTTTTCCGATTTTATAGCGGTCACAGGTGTTCATTAAACCAAAGAAAGGACAGCAGTATTAGAGGACTGGAAGACCAAACATTTGACAAAATCTTAGCTTTATTTTCGGAAGGAAAAAAATATGCGATATGAATTCACATACCTGCTTTGCTAGAGACGGCGTTTTGTGCACGCCCCGACAGTTATTAAGATCGGACCGAGATCCAGACTTGAAAACGAGAATGATAATCGACGTTTCCCATGTTTCAGGAAAGAATCTTTTCGAAATATAAACTGAGAATAAATGACTAAGCAATATGGGAAGATCGAATGCTTGTTTAATAATCGAATTTGGAATCCCGTCTGTTCCTGAACAGTTTGAGTTTTTCAAATAACTTATGTGTTTCTTAATGAGATCTGAGGAGACATCGATTGTACTCAGTGTTCTATCTGAAAGCGAGCGAAGGAAAGGGACCGGTTCGGACTCAGTATAAAGGTGTTTCTCAAAGAAAGCACTAAACAACTCCGCCTTGTCAGTGTCATCGATCAGGAAGATTTTGGTATCGTTTAGCAGGGGTGGAAGTCCGTGACCACGCTTAGAGGAATACCAATGACGGAAGATGTTGGCGACGGATTTGCCAGGGTTCCAATCACAGACTGCGAGTGATTCTATTTGCCTGTCGCGCTTTTTGCGCATCCTTGAGGCCATTTCGTAAATCTCTGTGATTCTAGGTTGAACTGATTAGGAACTAATGGATGGGTCACGCAACTGCCGTCTTAACTTTTTTTAGTCTTTTGTGATGAAAGCGAGGAACAAGAGGATCTGAATAATAATGCTTCAGATATATGCGGGGCTCAAACTCTAGGATGTCCTTGGAGACACTGGACATGTCGTCACGAAGACTGGTTCCATCGCTACGAGAGAGGAGGCCACACCAATCCGGAGATCTAATAAAGTTATTTGTTAAGTAGTTATCTACGCAATCGTAGTTTATTTAAGTCCGAACGGTGCTGATCTTTTTTGAAAGGGCAAGCGGTAAGCAACAAGTGAATAAAACGCGCAGGTTATTGAGTAAATTCCTCTCGGATAGGAGCTCCGTGTCGACAAATGCATACAAGGCACAGAGGAGCTAAGTTAAGAGGCTAATCCTTGGGACGCGGCGTACTTTCGATAAATACCTACTGAATCGAGCCGTAGAAAATCCGAATTTATTCTGTGGTTATATAAGAAACAGCACACGAAACAGAGACCCAATCCCATTATTGAAAGCTAATGACGACCTAGAATTCAGTGAAGACGTAGAAAAGGCAGAGCACCTTCCACGATTTTTGAAGTCCCGCTTTATGAAGGAAAGCGCATTTCTTCCTCCCGACTGCGACATAATGGACGGGCCAACGATTGAGAATGTCTCTTACGTCGAAGCCATTGTATGCAAAAAACTGTGGACGCTGAATGAGTCTAAATCACTTGGGCCGGATGACACACCGCCCAAATTGTTGAAAGAGCTTGCTGGAGAACTATCTAAACCGCTGTTCATGTTCTTCCAATCTTCGTTCGAAGCAGGCTATTTGCCCCCGATCGGAAATCTGCACAGATCACGCCAATTTATAAAGGCGGCAGCAAGCTCTTAGCAAAAAACTACAGACCAATCAGCCTTCAATTTGCTGCAAAATTATAAAAAATATTTAAGCGAGAAGTAATGCGCTTCCCAGAAGAGCATAATCTGCCATACGATGCTCAGCACGGATTTCGTAGAGACAGATCATGCATGACAAACCTACTTTATGGTTTAGATCGCTGGACCCGGGCAGTCGATCGCGGCAATGCAGTGCACGCAGTCCACGTTGACTTTAAGAAAGCATTCGACGGTGTATCACATCAGCGTCTCCTGTACAAATTAAGTCGAACAGGCATTAGGAGAAATCTCCTGAGGTGGATCCAAAGCTTCTTGATCCGTTGCTCTCAAATCGTCCATGTCGGTGACAGACAGTCGGCGGAGGTAGTGGTTGAAAGTGGTGTTTCTCAAGGCTTCGTCCTTGGCCATACTTTGTTAATTACATATGTCAACGACCGCGTCAGTGAGCTGAATTGTGATTTAACCATGTTCGCTGGTGATGTTAAACTTAGGAGCGTCATTCGAAGTAAACTTGACGAAGAGTGAGTGCAGGCAGATCCGACGCGACTCGAGAAATGATCACAGGATTGGCTTTTGCCGTTTGATGTGGATGTGCTTTGATGGGACCCCGACGGGTCTTTAGTAAAAATTATCTATCTATCTAAGTGCAATGTCTTGCGAGTCGGAAGGACCCGATCTCCGAGCCGGAGGGTTTACCACCTAAATGGTGTATCATTGCAGGAGGTAGACGCCCAGAAAGACTTGGGTGTGCGGGTAAGGCTTCTCTAAAACCGTCGCTTCACTGCTCCAAGGTAGCCATGTCCGCGATGTCAGTCCTTTATTTTGTCAAGAGCGCTTTCTCTACCTTCAATGAGGACTGCTTCGTTAAATTCGTTCGAACATTTGTACGGCGACAGCTACAGTTCGCTTTTCAGGCGTGAAACCCTGGACCTCTAAAGATCTCAGCATCCTTGAGAAAGTTCGAAGGCAGGCAACCAAACTCGTAAGTGGGCAAGGTTCACTGCCCTATGTAACACGACAATCCAATCTCGAACTTTCTCCAATGAGGTACAGACAGCTAAGTGGCGACCTTATACAAACATTCCGTATAATGTGCGGCCAGGACTGTTGTATCTTACTTGCTGATTTCTTTGAATTAGCAACCACAGCAAACCTCCGAGGACATCCACTTAAACTGCTTGCGACTGGCGCCAGGCTGGACATTCGGAAGCTCTTCTTTTCAAACAGAGTGACCGAGGCTTGGAATTCTCTGCCTGCAGATGTCGTCATGTCCACCTGCGTCGCGGCTTTTAAGCGCAATTAGGACCAGTGTACAACTAAAGGTCATAATGTCGCCTGACCGAAATCGACTTAGCATTTCTTCCGAACAGTTTATTAATGTTATTATGTTAGTGCCTAAATTTCAGTAACGTTTGTTTTTTATTGTTGACAATGTTGGCATTAAGTTCGCCTCCCTCAGAAGCTAGGGTAACACCACTTATCCATAGACAGACAATTGTGCAGCACATTTATTAACGCTAACGTTTCAAACACTTGGAACAATTCGTTTATCTGTCTAATTTGGAAAACTTTGCCAAGCTGAAAAAAACTTCTGCAGCTGTTTGATGTTTTATTTTAAATTTTTTTGATACAATTCGCTTCCTTGTAAAAAGTAGGGAATTCAAAGTTTCAACATCTATGTTTCCCTAAAATAAATTGAAACGGAAACTCTAGTCGTTGTTCCACTAAACGACGGCAATGGCCGATAATGTAGTTCGACAGCCGTAGGGACAAGTGAACAGCCCCATTTAGGGAAAGCACCGCTCACCCCCGCGAGGGGGAAGGGGCTAAAAAGGTGCCCTAAACAAATGCCGGGATCCACGTCGTCCGCAGGCTGACCGTGGCCTCAAACATAAAACTCACGGTCGAAACAACCAAGCCAGAAATAACAATCTCTCCTCCTGCTCCTCCTCCTTCCCCCACCGTCTCACTGGCCAGACTGGTAGGATGAGTCCGCTCACTCTGGGAGCCTGGAATGTTCTTTGTCTTTTAAATAATCCGAGTAGCAATCAATCGGAGCGGAGGATGGCACTTGTGGTTCGGGAACTGGTGCGCTACAAGGTGGACATCATTGCGTTCATTGAGACCCCCTTTCTCCACAGAAGGTTAAATGGCGCATTTGGGTTCCGGTTACGCCTTCTTCTGGAGTAATTGCCCCAGGGCAGAACGACGGGACGCGGGCGTCGCCTTTGCTATTCGGAGCGACATCGTGGGACGACTGTCCTATCTGCCGCAGGGTATAAACGATCGTCTGATGAGCCTCTGCCCTCCCATCCGAGGAGGCATATTCGCCAACATCGTCAGCGTCTACGCACCACCACAGATGACCAGATCCAATGAGACAAGGGCAAAATTCTATGAGGACATGCATGTCCTCATGACGACTGTGCCGAAGGCGGATAAGTTAATTGTTCTTGGAGACTTTAACGTCCGAGTCTTCACAGACCATGCTGAATGGAAAGGAGTGCTGGGTCCTCGTAGTCTCAACGGCCGCAGCGACAACAGTCTTTCCTCTTGCGAACCTGCACAGAACGCCGACTCCTGACTAAGACTTTCCGCCTGCCGATGTGGAAGAAGGTCACTTGGATGCACCCCTGGTCGCGGCGCTGGCAGTTACTGGGCTATGTCCTCGTCCGGCCGCGAGACCGACAGAACGTGTTGGTGAACGCCTCGTCATCTCCAGTATGAGGCTCCGGTTGCAACCTAAAATGAGGCCACAAACCACGCAACCACCAAATTAGATAAGTATCGCTTAGCTGAATTTGCCTGCTTACCTCCAAGTTCTGCAATCAGTTAGCTCAGCGCCTAGAAGAACTGCCGAGTCAAAAAGACAGTTTCTCCTCAAAGATTCGGCGATTGTAACTGCGGAACGCAAATCACTCGACTGCCTTGGGAGTCCCCCGGTAGCGCACGTTACTGACATTCTGACTGGTTCGAAAACAACGATGTCCACAACGACATTTTGCTCCCTGACAAGCATAAAAAAAGCTTGCATGAATCGGACCGATAAACCAAGGCGACCTTCTTTCGCCATCTTCTTATTGCACAGCCACGACTTTGAGAGATGCAGTACTCCTGAATGACCCACAGGACTGAGTAAATCCAGAGGTATGCCAATCGTAATTAAATCGAGAACATTTCCGCAAAACTCAAGGTGGTCTACGGTCCCCAACCAAAGGAACCGCGACGCTTCGTGGCTCCAATTGAGCAACGCTTCCGTCGGAGAAAATTAGAGATCCTAAAGCGCTGGGTCGAGCGCTAAAAAAGTGTTCTCAACTGCCCTCCACAATCGCCGACAGCGTCGTCTACTGACTCCCTCAAGTCGAACCAAACAAAGGCCTGAACCTGTGGCCTTCTCTCCCAGAAACAATCTGAGCTGGGCATCAACCCTCCAGCCGAAAAGCACCGGGATTTAACGCGATTCCGGTCACAGTCTACAAGCATGGCGGCTCCTAGTTTACGGATAAACTAACAAGGCCATTCCAGGAGATGTGGCTCCGAGGACAAGTCCATCAGAACTTCTAGGATGTGATAATAGTCCACTTTCACAGAAACGCTGTGTGCACGACTGCTTAGTCTCTGAAGATGGATAGAAGAAACGACTACCCGAAACGTCAGACCTCAAATACACCTCTCCCGGTGAACGCCTCCTCTTCTTTTGACATCTAAATCTGTCCAGACAACCTTCAGGTTTCCGTATGAGCCATAAGCTTTGGAGGTATATAACCGGAATGAAAAACCATTATTCGATATCGCTTAATTAAGACTACCTGAGATTAGTTCTAAGTGTCCTTTTCCACAAACGCCCGGCGGCTAGCGAATTAGGTCAGATTCCACAACATATGCTTCGTTTTATATGGTGGAATATATTTCATTATTAAAAGACAATTTGCTATGGCATTAGTAGTCTGATTACCATATTCCTCTGCATCTCTTACATGCTATAATCTGCCGTTTGTTCGTTTTAACTAATCGACGTTTTATTTATCCGTTCACGTTTTGGTTTTTTTAAGGTTGCGCGCTCTATTAGATTGCATTCGCAAGTGCGTTAGTTAACGAATCCTGAACAATGGCAGTAGACCTAAGCAATCAAGGTATGAGAAATTCAAAATTGAAAAAAAGGTTTTCAAAAAAACCTTGCAGAATTGTCTCTAATGGCAAGTGAAGCCGAGAAGGCAGCAATGTTCAACACTAACCTTCTTAAATGGGTTTGTATTTGCAAAGCAAATATTAAGATAATTTAAGGAAATAAAAACGCAAAATACTAACGCAGCATTCCGACGAGCGCAGCTAATATTATTCAAACGAAACGAAGCTAGTGCGTATAAATACGTGGCCGAAAGGCTTCAGTTATGGGAAAGGGAATTTGCAAATGACGATAAAAGAGTGGTATAAAATTTCATTAAGTAATATGCTTTTTAAGAAACACTACAATATTGCAAAGAAGGTGAAAGAACTGAATGATGTTGGGGGATCGAATGACAATACACTTACATTTGTTGCCCTCCGCGACCTACTTTTGGAAATAAACGCTCTAGATGAATCATTCCAAGCCGTCGCCAAAACAGAGGTTGACATTAAAAAGGATGCTGTCGCTTTCCTCCGAGACGTAAGTCAACAT